TCCTATAACTACTAACAAGTAATTATTCTTATCAATCTTACACAAATTTCGTTTTTATTATATTTATACACAAACATTATCCAAAAACAAAAATAGCCCCGGGCCCCAAGAAGTCTTAATCCGCCACTGATAGTCAAACATCTAAACACTTCTCCGAAAAATCAGCTAATTTATTTTTATTTATTGTATTATTTTATTTTAACTAGAATAATATAGAGATATATTTATCGGATTATTTTTACGTACAGGTTACTACATTGTTGTAATTAGTGTTTATTTTAATCGTGTCTAGGAGTTGTATGCAACTATGTATTTGTTTACTTCGTATATTTGGTACTTTATGTTTATGATATTTATGTTTGCATATCTTTACCGCCAATCTGTGATTGGTTACTTGTGAATACTTTGTAGTTGTAAAATGAACATGTAAAAAAAAAAAAAAAATGACGTATCTCAAATACTATTTTATTTTTAATCTTTATTTTATTCTTTTTTCCTTTTGTTAAAAAGCGACATCACCCTTTACATCATTACTTATCTTTATATTTGTATTGTTTTCGAAAGAAAATAAATGTAACACTTCTTTATTTAAAAGTATTTAATATTATCTTACTGAGATTAATATATATATATATATATATATATATATATATATATATATATATATATATATATATATATATATATATATATATATATATATGTATATATATATATATATATATATATATATATATATATATATATATATATATATATATATATATATATATATATATATATATATTATAGTTTTTGATTCTTTGGTCATTAATAAAGATCAATAAAAAAAAATGTGAATATTTTATACACAAAAACGGTGCTGACAAGTTTAAATTGTCTTCTTTTTTCCACGGACATATAATCTTTTTTTTCTCTTTATTTTATATCTTACATATCTTGATTTTTACATAATAGATAACAGGAAAAAAAGCAATAGCAAAAAATGTTTTGCCCCCCTTAGAAAATTTTCTGCGGGCGCCTATGTATATACATATATATATATATATATATATATATATATATATATATATATATATATATATATATATATATATATATATATATATATATATATATATATATATATATATATATATATATATATATATATATATATATATATATATATATATATATATATATATATATATATTATATATATATATATATATATATATATATATATATATATATATATATATATATATATATATATATATATATATATATTTATCTTTAGCAACCAGATCCAGATCGCTCAAAAGGTTGTGCAAAAGGATCTAGATACGATGGTTATCACTGTGTGGTAGGCCAAATTACCAAACTTCCGTTTACACTTCTGGCAGCAAAAACGCCAAGCCACTGCCAAATATATAAATTACCGTTTTCTCTTCTAACGACAAAAATGCCGAGCCACTGCCAAAGGATGGTCCACCTCCAAACGTAGAATACATACATATATTGGCAGATACGCATACATCCAATCTTTTTTTTTTTTTTCTTATATATATATTTTAACACTTTTGTCCTTTTATTTTTTATTTTTATTATTATTATTTTCAATGTTTCTATTCTTGTTATTTATATAATTTTGTTCAATTTCTTTTTATTACAAAATTGATAATAAGTAATTTAATATTATAAATTAAATTAAAAAGTAACATACAATATTACAATAGAAGAGTTCCAAAACTGAAAAACTGAAACATGTCAAATAATTCACTAGATTAAACATGTTAAATAATTGTTTGTTGATAAAATAATTAATAAAGAAATAAAAAAGAATATACCTTATATAAAATACATATACTGATATAGATAAGAGATTTTCAAAAATTTAAAAGTAAACTAGAATATTTTCACTTGAAAAAATGAGTTTTTTAAGATTTAACAATTAACTCAAATATATTGAGCGTTTTCATATCATATAAAAGAGGCTTGGCGTGAGCAAAACGGTCCTTGAAATTTATAAGGCGTGCTACATGCTTCTGTTGCCGATAAAGAGGTTTAAGTTTAGCTTTATAAGTGCTACCCCAACCAATGTTTGCATAGTTAATACGGCAATGAATAAACGAATAAAATAACTGAATTAAGGTATGCTTATCAAGAACGTATGTATTAGGGCTAATCCAGATCAGATAATAAGGGAGGAGAGGGGCAATTTAATTTTTTTTTTATTTGATGGATGACCATCTATTCAAAGAGGGAGAGAGGTCAATTTACAGATAATGATTTGTAAGCAAGTAATTACACAATTTTACAATTGCACCACATTAAAACTGTAATTTTATTTAGACAGCCTTACTATATTACTTCCATTTTCAAAAAAATTGCTGTGTTTAATATATAAACTTACCAAAAAAACTTTTCTAAACCTTATACGGGGGAACAATCGCCCTCCCCCCCCTCTCCTCCCTATGAATCTACCCGTGAGAATATATTTTAAAAACTATATAAACTATTTTTTTAGATCACTGACGAAGATATAACTCGATGTGCTTCAATAATGGGGCAGATATCTAAGTATACAGGAAACATGGGACAAGAAAAAAAAGTACAATAATTGAAATTAAATAACAATGTTTAAAACTCGTAAAAGAAATACATATGTAAGTGGACTAGATTTTCAATTGATAATCGCAACATCAAAGTAGAATCCAGTAGAATTTTCTAGAAATGTAGAATAGTCATTTACTTTATTGAGCCTTAAACTGCATGGGTAGATCATCCATTTTGTTTTTGCTCAATATTTGCTGTATACTTGGATATCTACATCCATAAATGAAGCACGTCCAATTAGTCCGTATCAGTTGCCCATGTTGTATCTTCAAGCATTCTAGTTTTACAAACATGCGTTTGAATTAGCATGTTCAAATATCATTTCATCATTACACATATGAGCAACAATCTTGTATCTAATTTGCTCATCTTCATTTCCTGTTATGATAAAACAAACTGCTCTAAAAAACAGTTTCCGTCTCCTTCAATTCTATGCACTTTCTGAGGAGAAAGAGTAAGGTCTATGTTTCCTACAGCGACATTGTGTTTCGTAACAATTCTGCAATTAGTTTTCTCATATTAAAAGTTGCACATTTTGCTATTCTTTTGTCTAAAACATTTACACTGCTTTCGTGTTGAGTATTTATATATGACTTGCTTGATTCAACGTCTTTGATAACTGGTTCATCATTTGATAATTTATTAATTACTTCTTTGAATGCTGTCACAACTTAGTTATTTTTTTTTGTATAAAGACAAACTTGTTAGATTATTTTTTTTTTTTTCAATATTACGTTTTTTTTATTCTTTAAACTACTGTTATTTGTACTTGAAGTATTAGTTACCGTGTATGGTCCTATCCATGGCTTCACAAGCTATCGACCTTTTCTGTCATCACGTTTATGATTTCGCAATAAAATCTTTGTTCCAATAGCAATTAACTATTCTTTGGGCTAACTCTTTTGTCATAGTCACGTTTTTGCTTTATTTGTAATTTTTCGATGTTTTCGTAAGCTTCGTCGAAAATACACTTTTTCATTTCATTCATTTTATTGAAAGTTTCGAAAATTGCTTTTTTGTTATGGGAATCGTCTTCAATCAGAGTAGAATTATCATTAGGTACAATCAGAGTAGCATTATCTTTATAGTCAATTAGGTTCTGACCTATATCAATCGACAGAACAGGTTCTCTTTGATAAAGTAATGCAAAGGGTGAAAATTCAGTCGATTTGTGTTTTCTAATTCGCATTGAAAACAAAACACCATCAATTATAAATGGCCATTAAAGAGTAGCATCTTCTAACACCTTTACCAATGTTCGTTTTATTGATTAATTTTGACGTTCTACTAAACCATTTGCTTGTGGATGGTATGCGCTTGTCATGCGTTGACGAATCCCAGTTTTCCTGTGAAATTCATTTGACAGCTCATTCACAAATTCACAGCCTTGATCGTTAATCTGTATTTCAAAACATCCGTGCCTACATAATTGTTTATACAGGAATAATGCCACAGATTTTGCTGTTTTATCAAAAAGAGATTCAGCTTTTACCCATTTGCTGAAATAATTGACAAGTACTATCAGATATTTATACCCATTTACTTTTGGGAGTTGAGTCAAATCAATCCCAACCTGTTTCATGTTACCTTTTGGAATCGATATGTTTTGTAACAATGTTTTAACTTGAAGTTTCTTTTTTTTTGCTTTTTGACAGTTATCACATTTATAGGCGGTAATGTCTTTTACTATACCAAACCAAAAAAATCTATTTTTAATATGCTTTATTGTTAAATTGATGCCTATGTGGCCAGATAATGCATTAGTCTCATTAGAAATATCATTACCAAAATGAACAGACTTAATTATATGGTGTTGCTCTTATTTACACTAAATAACTTTTCTCTAAAAAAAAAATAAAAAGATGTATTCTTATACATTATTGATTTTAAAATAGGCTTTTATTTTTATATTATTTTCTAATAAAAAAAAAGGAAAGTTGGAAACATATTTTAAATATAAGTAACGTGATTTAGGTCTATTGGGTATTGTTCTAAAGGTATGTGCACTGTATATAATATCTTAGAAACAGTGTACATACTTTTAACATAAAATTTATTTGTAGATGTATAAAACATGTATCCCTGTGTTAAAGCCGATGTCGGAGCGAGCTCGGCTGCCGATATCGGACCGACGGCGTTTTTGTCCATACGGACCGAGGTCGGCTCGACATCGGCTAGCCACTCAAACTGTCGCGTTGCATCGGCTGGTCGATGTTGAGCCGACGCTATTCCAATCTAATCATTGGCTGGCCGATCTCGGCCTAATGCGATTCCGTATGGATGGTCCGATGATTAAATAAGCTACAAAGTCTCGGTTAGCCGATGCAAATCTTAATACACAAATTTAAATCGGAAAAAAGGGAAAATAGGATTAAGAAATTAAAGTATATGTAAATCATCAAATAAATTGAATCGGGTGAAATTCCATCGTTTTTTATTAACCGATAATTAACTGTGATAAATAACTGTGATAAATAACTGTGTGCAGCATCTAAAAAAAAGTATAAATTAATTTTTCACATATCAATAATTGCAATATAACATAAATTACAACATAGATAGGTTACTGACTAGGTATACATATTAATGTATACATACCGATTGGATGTGTATAGACTTTCAACCAGTAACCAAATTTCCACTTTTAATTTCAGAGAACGAAAAAACTAATTTACATTTATAATATGAAAAGTATTATATATCTAATTCAATAAAAAGTTACTTGTTATAAATAATTACAATAAAAAGTTACTTGGGCATTTTGAATCAGGATGTGCACCACCAAAATCATTTGCATCTTTGGCATTGTTTATTTCGTTGCATTCAACAGCCCCTATACAATTAACTTGTAGTTTTCCTTCTGAGAGCACTGTGTTAAAAAAAGATTCATGCAAAAAAAAAAAAATCACCATAACAGGTTATATTTTATCAATAAATAAAAAAATAACAGAATATATTTTGATATATGATACAAACTTATTTTGCTTAAAACTTACATCACCAGTAAAACAAACTACTTCTACCTTAGCTTGAGTTGAAATGAACTTTTCATAAATTTAACATAATCATAAAACAAACTATCGACAAGAAGATATACCTAAAGGAGTTCATCTGTTAATAGTTAAAAGCACTACTTCATTGATTGACAATGAATCCAAAAATAGTAACACTAGAGAAATGAAAAAATAAAATAGTATTATAAAAAAGAGATATATAAAAATTAAAAAAAAAAAATAGTTATAAATAAGGTTGCATTCCAAATAAATCAAATCCTAACTAAGAAAAACTAAACTACTAATAGACCTGAAAAATCTTTATAGATTGTTGAAAAAATCAATTCGATAATTCATAAGTTGACTTTGATTTCTTCGACATCTATTTCTTTAACTAAAAATTATACCTATATTGAACTTATAATAGACACAAATTTCTTTTAATTTTTCTTATAGTAAGACACAAATCTCTTACGTAATTAAGTAAAAAAATTTAATCTCTTACATAATTAATTATACTTTTATAGTTAATTATACTATATAGTTTAATGGTTAAATTTACCAATAACAAAGACTATCAAACAAAATATCTGTTTAACAAAAGTAAATATAAAGAGTTAAATAATTACTTTAATAATTATAACTGAGAAAAAGAGTTTGAAACCTTATGTGTTAATGAAAGCTATTTAAGATGGTTAACAATTTATGAAAAAGGTTGCAAAATGTTTATCCCTCAAATTCAACAAAACAACCAAAACATTAGAAAGATAAAATCATTATGGTTGACTAAAGACCTAAAATTAAAGTTAAAAAGAACTTATGGTACAAAATCAAACCTGCAGGTTTTAAAAATATAGATGATGTTATAAATTACAATAAAATATTAAAAAAGCAATTATGGAGTATGAACGTAGTTTAGTAAAACAATTAAAATTAAATACTAAATGTATATACTCTTATATAAACATTAAAACCAAAAAAAAAAAAAGCACTATTAAAGCCAAAAGAGATACAAATAGTGATGTGACAACAGATTGTAAAACAATATGCAATAAATTAAACACATTTTTCAGTTCAGTATTCATAACCGAAAATAGCAATAATACTCCTTATTTGAAAAAAAAATCTTTCTATGTTGTCCATATCCAAAATTTGAGAAATTAATAATTGAAACAAAACTGAAAAAATTAAACACAAATAAGTGAACAGGTGTTGATAAAGTCATCCAAGAGGTTTGAAGGAATGCTCACAAAGCTTATGTAAACCATTATAGTTAATGCTTAATGAATCATTTGAAAGTGCAACTCTACCAAGCTTATGGTTACATGCAAATATAACACCATTGCATAAGAAAGATGGCAGACTTGAATCAGCTAACTACAGACCAATTTCATTAACATTGATTTTATGCAAAATCAGGGAAAGTATTGTCAGAGATGAAATAATAAATTATCTTAACAATATTAATTTAATTTCAGTGCACCAACATGGTTTTGTGAATTAAAAAAATTGTTGTACAAATTTACTAGAAACATTTGGTACTGTCAGTATAGCATTTGAAATAATATTCGAGTTAAAATTGATTTTCTTGATTTTGCTAAAGCTTTCGATACTGTGCCACATGAAAGATTGTGTATAAAATTAGTTGGATATGGTATTATTGGTGATCTTTTGAACTGGTGCAGAGCTTTTCTAAAAAATCGGATACAACAAGTTATACTTGGAGAAAATATTACTGAATGGACAAATGTTATAAGTAGTGTTCTTCAGCGATCAGTACTTGGACCATTATTATTTATTTTATACATAAATGATATCATGTTAAATATAAAAAACGAATGTAAACTGTATGCAGATGATACAAAAATAATATCTATACTAGATCATAACAGCAGTACAGTAAATTTACAAGAAGATCTAAATAAAATGGTACAATGGACAAAAAACTGTTTGATAGAATTTAATAATGACAAGTATAAGGTTATACATATCGGATAAAATAATCGTAAAAAAAATTACCTGATGCTTAACAATTCCAAAAATAAAACATATGCCACTAAACTAACAAAAATAACTTTAGAAAAATATCTTGATATATATGCATCAAATGAGCTTAATTGGAATTACCACATTAACTATACAGTCAATAAGGCTTACCAAAAATTAGGCCTAATAAAACACTCTTTTAAATATTTAGATAAAAGAAATATAAGATTACTATTTACTTCATTAGTCAGACCTCATCTTGAATATGGATCGCCATTATGGAACCCACATTTACAAAAACATATCAATATGATCGAACAAGTCCAACAAAGAGTAACTCATTTCCACAGTTTAAAAGGTTTACCATACGAAAATAGAATAAACACAGTTAATCTTAAAAGGTTTAAAAGGTTTACCATACAAAAATAGAATAAATAGAATTAATCTTTTGACATTAAAAAATAGAAGGTCTAGAGCCGATATAGTCTAATTATACAGGTTTATAAATAACTTAGAGTAATTAATTGGTACAATCCTCCTATATTTATAAAAAATTCAATTACAAGAGGGCACAATAAAAGAATATGTAGACAACAAAAGAAAAAAACAAACGGTCGACATAACTTTTTTATAAATAAAATAGTGGACAAAATTAATCGTTTACCACAAGAAGTTGTGGATGCGAAAAACTGAAATACATTTAAAACCCTTATAAATTCTGCTATTGTTTTGCAGTGGAAGCTATTAAAGTTCCACCACTTTTATGGAACCATCACGCCGTAATAGTATTAAGAGAAGGAAGAAGTATTTTATTTAAGTGCAAGGAAGTGCTAGATATCTTATGATATTTGAACAGATGTCCAGTATTGAAAGGTGGTGTTTAGAAGGGGAATACAATTTAGTGATTGCGTTTGAGTTAAGTGAGTGTTGGTAATGTCAGATTTAAGTAAGTGTTGTTTCAGTGTTCTGTAAGTTATTTTGTTTTTTGTTTGTACTGTTCTAAACGTTAAAGTGTCATTTAATGTCTTTATTTGTATAAATCTGTGTGTTCGTAAATAATTTGATTCTTAGTGTTGTTCAGTTCCAATGTTATTATGTTCTCTTTATATATAGGGTTCGCAACTTGAAGCAATAAGTATAATCATCACTCATGGAAAATATTTAGCCGTAAATGCCTTAGTGAAAAGAAGTGATGGAATATATTAGAAATTGTTATTGTTTTAACTTAATTCCAACTTTTGTTATTGTTTTACTTAATTTCAGTTTTATTTAACTTAGTACAGGTTCAATTGTAATTCATACCGTTTAGTAAAGTTGATCGTTTTAGTGAATTCGTTTTATAAAAACATGCATACTTATAATGGGAATATTCGTTTTAAATTTAGTTTATTTTCTCAAAGAGCCATAATCATTTGCATATAAACTGAATATAAAATTAGTGTCTTGAATAGACCATATAAATTGAACTAAGTAGAAACTAAGTTTGAAAAGAATTTGCTAAAGTCTGGTGTGTGTGTTGAGTATTATAAGGTCATACAAAATTAGTGTAGATAATTATAATATGTACTCACGCAGTTATAGGGTATTGTACAGTATTATACTATGAAAGTATATAGCTTGGTACTTTCATGTAACATGGTTATCATGTAAAACATGATACATAAACATATAAATATGTATGTATTTATCGCAAATCACGCTAATTCGACTTCTAATAGCTGTCTTTGGATATACGCTTTTTTTAAAAAATTATAAACGTCAATATTCAGTATGCATCGTTAAATTTTTAGTAATATATATGCAACTGTATTAAAAAAATTGCTTCTTATTACTTTTCAAAAACCACAGCAATTAAAACGTTTAAAACTATTCTCAAAATACAACGTAATTTGGTTACAAAAATATGTTTTGCTTCATAATATTTTTGTGGGAGTAAAAATCTCATAATGTTAAAAATATAAAAACATCAATTAATACGAGTTCTCTCAATACTTTTATTAATTTATTTGAAATTTTCGCTGGATTGTAGTTACTAGCATCATTAGCTATAGTATCGTAATTAAAAATTACAATTATGACCGTTATAAAAAATTACAAAACTTAAACTTTGACGTCAGCAAGAATGCAAAAAATGGAGTCCAAAATTTAGTTTTAACGTATTATCCATTATCTAAGTTTATTCCACCATAAATTGGAGAGCATTGATGTTTTTGAGTCTCTAATGCTTCATGAACTTTCGTATTAAATTTATTATATTCTTCTTTAAGTGTTTTTACTTTATCCCAATTAATTTCTTCTCTACAGTCTTTTTTATGAAGAGCTATAGCAGACTGATAATACTTATCTTCCATCAAACATTTTTGGTGTTGTTAAGATCTTGTTCTAATTTGTAATTAAAAATTCCAGTACTGTTGTAAACAGTAAACCTGCAATTAAATAAATTCCAGGTTTACTGTTGTCTGGTAACCATACATGATTCCAACATTTAAATCATATATATATATATATATATATATATATATATATATATATATATATATATATATATATATATATATATATATATATATATATATATATATATATATATATATATATATATATATATATATATATATATATTATTTGACCGTTCAGTCACTTTTACTTTCTACATGACATCACTGGTTTAATGTGATATTGTATTGACGTTTTAGACATTTTTGGGAACTTTTATTATGCCAGTAGTAAATTGCTAAAGGTCAACAACTTCTCTTTTATGTGCGTATTGTTGATAAATAAGTGCAGGGTGTTTAAGAAGGTTAATTAACTTTTTGTTAAGTTCTTGCAACCTCCCAGTTTTAGAAGCATTTATGTCAGAACCGTTACAACATCAGCCAAAACCTCTTCAGTTTCAGAAATAGTTTTAGATTAATTTTCAGAAGTAATATCAGGTCCTAGGTTAGATGCCCTTACTGACCATAAATGCAACATGGGTGAGGATGGTGACAAATTAAAGAATTTTAAAAAACACAACATTTTAATTTTTTTTAGTTTTTTTTTTAATAATAGATAAGGCGATTAATTTCTTATCAGGAATCCCAATTTAAATCTTTCCAAACCAATAAAAATACTTTTATAAACTCATTTAGATATTAGTTTATATCTGAATGAGTTTATAATGATTTTTTTTTAATTATTATTAGTTAATTTAGGCGCCTTTAGAAACATTTTAACAAGAAAGTTTTAGCCTCCTTCCTTAAAAATAATGCATATGTTGAACCAAGGACCTCCAGTTTTAAAGCCAAAACTCTCACCACTACACCACGGCTGCTAAGTGATAAAGACGAGTTAAAATAACAAAGAGGAGTTAAAAACATCAGTCCTTTTTATTTCAACTTTATTATTTTTATCAAGCTTTTTTTTTTAAACTCGTATATTTAAACCCATGAATAATTTACCAAAATAATAAAATCGTCAAAAAGATAAAAAGAAATCTTTTGAAAATAAGCCCAGCTTTTAAATATTCAAAAGTTTTTTGAAATGAACAAAAAACTTGAAAAAAACTTCTCCTGCGTCAATTCACCCCAACTTTTTTATCATTAAATGAAAAACACTTAATTCTTTAAAGCTAACTGAAAACTCATTGAAAATGAGTTTTCAGTTAGCTTTAAAGAATTAAGTGTTTTTCATTTAATGATAAAAAAGTTGGGGTGAATTGACGCAGGAGAAGTGGGACAGCCTCAAAACTCCAATTAGGAGAGGTCCTTAATTACTGTTATCTAATGTAAAAAACGAGGTTTTTTCCACTTTTTTTAGCAGACTTTGCTTTGCTTCCCTGCGTGTGGTAAAAACCGCATATTATAACCGCGTATATATACAGTATTGGACAAAACATTTGCAACCAACATCGAACAATGCTAAAAGGTGTTCCTAATTTTACATGTCTTAAAATAGAAACGAACTATACTACCACAGCAAACAGTTCAGGAGTCTGTAGTCATAGCATGCCATGACATGAGCAATCAGCTGACAGGTGACAGCACACAGGCAGAATTTCGTTGACATGTGCCATTTTGCAGCGGACAAAACAAGTGCAACTTTTTTGGTTTGTTTCATTTTCTTAAGTCTGGTCCGTGTCAACGTCACGGATGTTTTTTTAATAATTAAAGGAAGTATTCAGAAGTTTACAAAAGTTTCCAGAAGCATGCAGAAGCTTCCAGAAGTTTACAGAAGAAACATCTGGAAGCATCCAGAAGCATCCAGAAGTATCCAGAAACATTCGGAAGCATCCAGACGCATCCAGAATCTTTCAGAAGCATCGAAAAGAATCATCTAGAATCTTTTAGAACAGGTTCACACAGGTTCATTTTACAATATAAGAGACATCTAAACCGACATATGATTCATTCAGTATATGGAAGTCAATCAGTCAGTATTATCAAGACAGTTTATCAAAGTGAATTTTATCAAAGTGTTTTATCAAAGAAAATTAATACAAGAAGTGAAATACAACAAGTGTTTCATTACATCAATAGAGTCCACATCCAACCAAGACGTTGTGTTCTACAGAGTATTATTGTATTATCACAAGGTAAATGTAACACGGTAAGCCTTGAGAAGCGTGATTTTTTGTTTTTATTATTTTTATGACTTCAAGTGCAAAAATGGCTCCCGACAGTCTTGGATTGGAACTAAGAAAGAAAATTATTGGCGATTACGTAAGTGAAATGTCACAAAAAAGTATTTGTGATAAGTATTGCGTGAAAAAATGAACCGTATCAAGACTATGTTCCAAATATCGTTCTACGGGGAAGTTAGCAGCAGATAACAAAGGTGGAAGACCGCGTTCCACCACTTCTAGAGGGGATTTTATGATCGTCAGATTCGTTAAGAAGGATCCCTGGATATCATCAGTCGAGATACAAAAACAATTAGAGCTGCCTGTGTCGGACCGAACAATCAGACGACGTGCTGTTGAAGCCGGATTGTTTTCTCGACGCCCTGCAAAGAAACCGCTCATACTGACTGGAATGCGCAGAAATGGCGAACTGTCCTGTTCAGTGATGAATCGAACTTCAACATTATTCGGAGAAATGGCATTTACCGTGTACGTCGAGCGGTCGGAAAACGCCTCGATTCATGTTACTGCCATAAGACCGTGAAGCATGGTGGAGACAATGTAATAGTATGGGGGTGTATTTTTGCTAATGGTTTAGATCCAATACATCGAATCGATGGAACAATGGACTGTTTTATATATAAAAATATCCTAAAAGATGTTGTGTTACCTCATGCTAAATGGAATATGCCAATAAAATGGGTTTTTCAGCAAGACAACGATCCGAAACACACTGCAAAAGTAGTCAAACAGTGGTTTCAAAACAACAACCTATCGGTGATGGATTGGCCGCCTCAATCTCAGGATCTCAACCCTATCGAATACCTGTGGGAGATCATCAACCGCAGAGTTAATCGTGAAGGTGTTCGTAATAAGGATCAACTGTTTGAACAAATCCAGAAGGCCTGGGCAGCGATTCCACAAAGTTTCATTGATCACCTGATCGAATCTATGCCTCGAAGATGCATAATGAACTTTGTGAACTTGAAGAACGTTGTCTTTAAACAGTTACATAGTTGTTTCTCTAAACTGAAAAAATGGAGCACTTTTATATAAAGAAACTAAATTAGCATTATTTGATGCACTTGTTTTGTCCGATACTGTATATAAGCAACTAAATAAAAAATCCGTGTTTCAACTTTTATTTTCTCCATTACTGAATAGGGCATTTTTTTCAAAAAAAAAAAAAAAAATTCTTTAAGATTGTAGACTACTAAAAAAATTAGAAGAAATATTTTCAAAAGTTGTAATGCTTAAAACACCAACTCTTTTAGAATCTAAAAATGTATAAAAGATTATAAAATATCTTTATATAAGATTAAAGTTTAGACTCTTAAAAGCAGATTTATTTTAGCAGGTTATTTTTGCTTCCCTTATTAACGCTCGTAGTAGCGGCTAATTGAGGTTTAAAAATATTTGTCATGTACCACATCTTCAAATTCTATCCACTCAAACTGCTGCTTCTTTTTTGCTAACTTTTTTATGTTGTAAATGGCATAATTTTCTATGTTGTAAGTGCTGATTTTTGTATTTTTTTATATGTTGTAATCTGAAAACATAATCTGAAAAAATAATGTTGTTGATTAGGTTAAGATGTCTTTATGATGAAATGCAGAACGCAAATGAATCGCTCAATAATATGTTTGAAATTTGCTTTATTGACGGAAAAGGAGTGAGGATGTGGTCAAACTGGATGAGGATGAGGTGAGGATGGAAAAATACACAACTAAACTTGTTTAACAATGGTTGCAACAAAACAAATTGAATATCGAAGTTCCCAGCTCAATCACTTGATCTGAATCCGATTAAAAGTTTTTAGTCTCAATTTGAACTTTCTCTAAAATACAAAGGAATTCAAAAACGTCAAATTGCTGTTTAAGCTGTTAAATCCACATGAATGATAACATATAAAAAATAGATAAACTTATCGAGTCGAAAAGATGTACCTTGATCCTAAAAAGTAAAGGATATGTCATTAAGTATTGTTTTTAGTATTTATTCTGCAGCCATAAAAAAAACGCTGCATCATTGATGCTTTCATTGATATAATCAATTGATACATTAATTTGCAACTGTTTTCTTTTACTAATTTATGCAAATAGACTTTAATTTATCAAATATAATATATTATGTTTGAATGCAATACTTTCTAAGTTGATGTAAAAGTTTGTTTTTCTGATAAAGAAAAATGTTACCGAATTTATTTTTAGCAATACTCGGTAATAAGACTTTTTAGCAAATGTGAACTTATATATAAAATGAAATTTAAAAATAATAAAAAAAACGTGCGCACAAAAACCAAAAATACTCAAATATCTTGCTATATATTTGCAGATTTATAAAAAATAACTAAAAATTCAAAATATATCCTTAAAAATATATCTCTTTAAAAGAATATATATATATATATATATATATATATATATATATATATATATATATATATATATATATATATATATATATATATATATATATATATATATATATATATATATATATATATATATATATGTATATATATATATATATATATATATATATATATATATATACATGTGTGTGTGTGTGTGTGTGTGTGTGTGTGTGTGTGTGTGTGTGTACGTACATATATATTTGTATATATAAAAGTATTTTTCTGGTTTTAATAAAATATATGCCTATTTTTAAGTTTCAAAACTTTGAACAATCAAAATCCATATCAAACTTTTTACGTAAAAAGTGAAACTTGATAATAGCTACTAATTTCAATATCTGGAAAAGTAAAATCCGGTAACGGCTGGAAAAGTAAACACCGGTAACGGCTGGAAAAGTAAACACCGGTAACGGCTGTGTCACAACTTTATAATTTGAAAAAGATTATTCGTTTAAAAACAAACGTTTAAATGCAGTTTCTTTTTCAAACATACAAAACAAATCCAACTTTTTTATTTCGATAGAAAACACTCATTATTTTTTGAAAACGTGAGCAACAAATTCCAACGGGCACAAATTCTTCATAAACTCATAATTCTGCATTTCACCATTCCTTTTATAAAATTTTAAAATGTTTATTTTCGTTTTTCTTTTGTTTCACTTTAAATTTTATTTGGTATTAAGAACAATTTCACTAAGACGCCGAGAACATAATTGACCATTTTGAGCCACTACTCGGGCTTGTATGCTCTCTAAAATGGGTTGAATTTCCCCAAATAACGGACGTTTCGTGTTATCAGACAACCAACATTCATTCATGACAGACCAACACTCATCGTCAAAATGACCTAATCGTTCAGGGCGTATTCCTCGACGCACAGAATCCCATAAATGATCTTTACATGAAAATTGTTCATACGCTCCTGGTAATCGGACAGTTCCAGCGCAAATATACCAAAATAAAATGCCAAAAGCATAAACGTCTACTGATTTATCATAATGCCCAGAAAAAAGTTCTGGTGCCATATGTATAGGAGTGCCAACAATTGAACCATTAATCATTACCCCAGGTTTACAAAAACCAAGATCAGTTATTTTTCCTCTATTTTTTGAATTGAGCTGAAAAAAAAAGTTAAAAAAATTTTCGGAAAATAATAATTAACTTAATAAATAATTCATAACATAATCTTTTAATTTTTTAAAATTTACATAAATAGGGAGTTTAGTCACGTGATTTTTTATCGCGGAAAAAAACTTTCGGTTTGATATTGAAAAACTTCGTCCAAAATACGAAGGAAATGATTTTATGTAGGTGTCGAAGAATAAAAACCCACCCATGAAAATTAATTATATACATATTGATGTATTATTTTTCAGAAAAGAACGTAAAACATTTATTTATGTGATTCCGACAGTTTTCTCTTGAATTTAAAAAGTTATTCTCTTTTAAATGATTCAATTTTGTGTAAAAACCAGTAAATTAAGATAGTTCATCTGGAATCACGTGAAAATAGGTTCTGCAGCTATTTATTTGTTATGTACATAACTTTTTGATTTAAAAAAAAAAAGTTTATATAGGGTGGGTTTTTTGTTTCCTTTAAAGTGATTTTTAGAAATACCCCGTTTTATTAAGCGCACTGCATTTAACTAAGTGATAAATTTCTGCGGATTTTTTTGTTACTCTACCATTCAATCTTCCATTTGGAAAAAAAAGATCTGTTATTTTTATTGAACATTATTATACATACATTTTTGTAATGCTGATATTGATTTAGTATGATTTTGGTTGATATATCTAGCTGAACTTTTTTGATAAGTATTTATTATTAACAAGATCTATTAAATCATTTACTGAAGACTTAAGTAAATATAAACTAAATATAAAATTAGAAACAAATTACTCCAGTGAAGTAATTTGTTTCTAATTTTATATTTAGGTAAAAATTTGTAGTCAGTAAATAAATAAAATTATTTATTTACTGATAAGTAGATAAAAAGTAGATAAATAGATAAGTAGATAAAAAGATTTAAAGTGTTGTTAATTAAATCATCTGAATATTTATCATTAAGTTTTTTATTATTTTAACTTACCTGTAAGTTTTATATATAACTATATAATATATATAATATATTAATTGTAACATGTGAATCTTAACATCATGTGAATCTTAACATCATAAAATTTTTTGATATCAATTTAGGTATGATGTTTAGATTGATTTAAATTTATATATTTTCTTGACTTGATTTATGAAAAAATAGTTTAGATAAAATGTTTAATGAAGAAATTTATGATTGGTATTTAACGTTAAAAGATACCTCTAACAATGCATTATATTGTAAATTTTGCAGTGATTTTAATATTCAGCTCCTCTGCTATGAAAAACAATTAGCTACAAAGATAAATAGATTAGTTGATAATATCAGAAAATTAAAGAAACAACGCAAAAATAAAAAGTTGGATTTGTTATTAAGTGAAGCCTTTATTCCACCTGTGACAAAAATTCCTAATAATACATCTATTAGTTCTGAAGTTTCTAAAGAAACAATCCTTATTAGTGAAAACAAAATGTTTAAAAAAGAAAATAAAAATTTAAATAGGAAACTTGAATCAATGATGGATTTAGAATTGGATTATTTTAAGCATCTAAAGGATTTTGAAAATATGTCAAGTAATCTGCAAATACTTATTTCAAAAAACTCTTTAATTGAAAGTAAACTAAACAATGTTAAAAATCTTTATTGTGAAAAAGAAGAAAAGCTCAATATTATTGAAAACAAATTAGAACTATTAAAGTAAAAAAAAAAATCATTTGATGTTAGAAATTTGAATAAAAAAATAAAATATCGTAATACTCAACTGGAAATTAAAAAAAAAAGAAATAAATTCATTAAAAAATGAAACAAAATATAAAATATCGCAATTGAAAAAAAAAAAAAGAAGATATTACTTCAATTCTTGAAAATTCCGATATAAACATTTCTGAATTAAAAAACGAGAAAATAAAGCTGCAAAAAAAAGTGAGTCATTTAAAAATTATTTTGCAAAATAAAACCAACTATATTAATGACTGCAATATGAAAGATGTTATAAGTTTAGAGGATGAAGTTGTTTCGTTATGTAATAAGACAAAAATTTTAAAAGAGGAGAATCAAGAACTTCAAAAATTGGTTTCTTTGTTAGATGACAAGGAAGTAATAACAAAATAAAAAAATTCTGCTTCAAAATAATTTTGAAACTGAATTTATCTTTCTAAAATAATTTTGAAACTGAATTTATCCGGATTTTTTCCTTTACTTATCAAGTAAAGGAAAGAATCCGGAAATGGAGGGCTAACCTTAGGCTAATTTACTATTACTTTTACATAAACTGCCTATCAAGTAAAGGAAAGAATCCAGAAATGGAGGGCTAACCTTAGGCTAATTTACTATTACTTTTACATGAACTGCCTATCAAGTAAAGGAAAGAATTCAGAAATGGAGGGCTAACCTTAGGCAACATGACAGCTCACTGATGGAGTGCAAAGTCCTATGGCTTACCTTCTCGTTGGTGCACTTCGTTAAGTAAGTTAGACAAATTTGTCTAATTTATGAACGGAATAGCCAAGGCAAATTATGTATAAAATTGTTTGTTGACAATACACACATAGCCTACTCTTGCAATTCGATAATTAAAATATTTTTTCAGTAAATTTACAGATATGATGTCTGCAAAGTTTTGAATGAATTTTAAAAATTGAAATTTCTGTGTTCAAATAATTTGCAACATATAGTCAAACTTGGGTACATTAGTAGTGCGATAATTTATTTCGAAGAAAAAACGATTTAAGACAACTATTAAAAAATTTAAGACAAATAGATAGATAAGATAATCCGTATAAGTATTTCCATGACTGTTAATCTATGTTATTATGACTGTTTATTTCCATGACTGTTAATCTATGTTAATTCCATATCTGTTAATCTATGCACTCTCAATTTCCTAATACAAGAGGGAGGGGGTAATAAAAGTGTGGGTGGGGTTGGGGAGTTTAGTCAAGATTTAATAAACGGGGGGGGGGGGGGGGAGTCAGATTTTACACTGAAAGTTTTATTACTTATCAGTAACTAGTATATATTTTTTGATTTTTAAAGCTGATTTTCACTGATTTTTTTTTTTAGTTTTTAGATATCATTTTTTTGTTAATAACAAGTAAAAATTAATAAACAGGAGGGGGTCTTAATAAGCTTAGGGTGGGTGTCAAAGTTTCTCGAAAATTAATAAACGCCCCCCCCCTCCTTTCAATTATGGACTCAAGAGTATACAATCAAATAAAGCCAAACCCAATAAAATAGAACAATTCAACGAGTTTTTCATTCATTGTTTTCAAAATTTTCAAAAAAGTTAGAAGCCCTAATCCCATTTAAAAAAAGTTTTTTAATATTATCGTAGGTACTGAAAACAATAAATTAGTCAAAACAGTAGACTATAAGCAGTTAAATCTCTTTTTGAAGTTATAATAATACTGAAATTATTAACGAGTCGTTGACTAAAATCTTTTTTGTTTGTGTAAAAATAAATTTTAGATTTATGTTTATTTTGTACGTATTTTGACGTTTTCGGCCTGTTTTATTTGGGTCCACGTTGTTCATTTGATAATTTAATAAAGAAAAATAAAATTAATTTATTTTAATAAAAATAATTTAAGTTAATATTTATCATCAAAGTTTTGTTACGCTTAACGTATTATAAATTAAAACATTTGAAAATTTATATTGTACAAAAAAATTTAAAACATATTCAAACATATTATACTGTTAATTGACTATTTCATGGTATGTCTGCGTTAACCCACCAAAAAAAATCTATTTATGAATTGTTCAATTTTGTTCAGTTTGGATTTACAATTTAATTTCTAATAAAATTTTATTATAAGTTAGTTTACGCAACTTTTTACGCAAGAAAAAAAAAACATAAAAAAGTTTTTTTTTGGGTGCCAAAAATTTAACGAGATACTTTAAGAAAATATTTCATAAAAAGTCTTTGAATTGAAAATATTTAAACACGTATATCTTTGGAACTAAATAAGCTACAGAGGTGGTTAAAACCATTTTGAAAATGAAATATAATAAGGAATATAATGCATTTAATATAAAAAATATTTACATTTGCTCTAAATATTGCCTAAACTCCCTAACATAAATGAAAATAATCTATTTAGTTAGCTTAGAGCTTATGAGTTTATATTAAAATAAGTTATTGAGTTTTAATCCTATTTACATTTTCAAAAATACAAATACATTCAATATTGATTTTAAAAAATTCCTCTCTACTTTAAATGATGCACTTAAAAATTGCGAACGGTTTGAATGCAGTAAACTCTTAAGATTAACAGAAGCGGATTTCAAAAATAAAAGGTCACTTTTTTAACAATTATTTTAATTATTTTTAAGCTTTTTAAAAAAATAAAAAAATAGAGACTTTTTTTAAATTTTTATTTGAAATACAGCAAAAATAAATAGAGAAAGTTAAAAAAAAACAAATCATTTTGGTACCAAAATCAACCAGAATATATATACAAACCGACCAAAATTCATTTTGGTATCAAAACCACCAGGTTAAAAAACTATAATAAATATGTGATAAAAGTATAAGGTCACATTCAGAGTTGTTAGTCCTTGGCCTTGCCTTAAGGCCATAAATTAGGTCCTTGACCTTGGCCTTGGACTTCTTGGCCTTTACATTTTTTGGCCTTGAATTTTTTTTCTAACTCTCTGTTTATTTTAGCAAGTTCATTTTTTGAATTTAGAACAATAGAATTGTTTAAAAGTAAGTACATGCTGTAATCAGGGCCGGCGCGAATAGATGTCACGTGAGGGGGGGGGGGGGTGCCATTGCAATTTTTGCCGACTAAAAAAAATAAGGTCTTCGTTTTTCAAAATTTGCCGACTGTCATGACGACATTTACCGACTGTCTAACCTATATCAAAAGGGTCGACATTTGCCGACTAACTAGTCTAAAACGGTTCAATTTGCCGACTAATGGTCCAATTTGCCGACTAAGGGTCCAGTTTGCCGACTAAAAATCATTGATGGGGGGTGTGATACCCCCACACCCCCCTTATCGCGCCGGCCTCGG